TGCCTGAGAGCAATCAAGTTTGTTTTTAACATGAAATGCTGATATAGTTTCCAGACACTAGTCTAAGTGTTTTATATGTATTATCTCATTTTAAATGCTCAACTATCACAATAGATTGTAACTTGAATTTTCCTACTTTCAACCTTGATAAAAACCAATAAATAGAACAAATTTGAACATAATGATACAGTTTAGTTGTGCTCTGAACCACGACACTTAAGGCCTCTTATATCTGGACCCATCTCAGATAAATGCAGAAAAGCTCTCTATAGGACTTTCCATAAACACAACAAATCTGAGGAGAGAGCAGGAACAGTGTCAAGAAAGAGCAGGAAAAGACAGCCAAAAAGATAGAGGCAGAAAGAGAAGCATGCCCAGTTCTATAAGGGATCCCAGGCTGGGAATGATGAGTTGAGAAAGAGGTCACGGCGAGGGCTCTGACTAACCCTCACGACTCTTTGCTGAGCAATTTTCTACTCCTACTCTCTCTGATTCCCAGTGCATTTTGAGAAGACCATACACTTTCATCCTTGTAAAGAATGCTGAACAAACCTGCATGGTAGGATTTGATTGCATTGTATATTTAGATTATACTAGCAGAGGTTTAAAGGAGAGCTGCCTGTAAATTAGTAAGAGTATGTACATTGGAAGAGTTGCATGGAGCAGTGCATAGTAAGATGGTTGAAGTTCAAAGAAAACTTATAACAGAGTTAACAAACTTAGCACAAAAATAAGTCAGAGTAAATGTTGCCTAAGTCTAACCATTCTAGGCTGATATTTTTATTTCCCATCTTTGTGTCCATTGGCAATGATGCATTTTCTAAATGAAGATCTTCTGTGGACACCACAGATCTCTTCTCTGTTTTGAGAGTTCATCTTAACGGGGGTTCCTTAAGAAAGTCATCATCACATTGAATAACCAACATTTGTCAAACTCAGTGATAAGTTCTGTGGCAAACACAGCCCCCTTTTTCCAGATTTTAAAAGCAAGCATTGGGGAAAAACAGAAGTAGATGGTGTAAAAGATATTTCAAAAAGGGCTTGAAATGAGAGAGAGAAATAGAGAGAGAGAGGGGAAGAGAGAGTGTGATGGTGTTGGGTGGGGGGGTGGAGAATTGGAGAGGGACAAGCAAAATATTCTAAAGATAAACCACAGTATTTGTTCTTTAAAATGTAATAATAAGTATTATGAAATTATTAATTCTTATAAAATAATAGGTAAAAACAATGTAATTTTTTACATTTTAGGTAAAAACAAAACATAATATCTTCTTGGAAACTAACTTTTACCTATCAGCAGTATAGCCTGTAAAGAGAAAGACAGAATTTTAAAAAGGATATAGGTCTAGTTCAATCACTTAACTGTGTTAACCTAGGGAAATATTTAAATATCTCAGAGACTCTTCCTCTATGTAATAAGATGCTGTGAGTCAAAGAGCTTTTAAAGAATTCTGCAAATACATTATCTTTATCTAGTAACTGATATTTAATATTCTAATTGTTAATATAAAAACCAGGTTGAGGATCTACGTACAATTATCCATGAATGTTTCTCAATAGACTATTGATTTACTTTCCCCATAATTATATGAATACTTTACATTGTTTATTTCACATTTACTTTATAGGTAAAACTCTAAACGTAGTCTTTATTAATTTTTGAATTGTTTCCAATCTTATTGAGACATAATTGGCATATAACTTGTGTAAGTTTAAGATATACGTGATGATTGTATACATAGAGCAGGTCCTTGAATAATGTTATTTCCTTCAATATCATTTTATTATAGTGCTGATAAGGAAAAAAATCTATTTTGGGCTGGGCCCACTGTCTGTGTGGAGTTTGCACATTCTCATCATGTCTATATGGGTCTTCTCTGGGTACTCCGGTGTCTCCTCACATCCCAACGACGTGCACTTGAGATGAACTGCACTGGCATGTCTAAATTGTCCCAGTGTGGGTGAGTGTGGGTGTGTGTGACTGCACCCTCAGTGGAGGGTGTCCAGGCCATAATGTGTTCCCGTCCTGAGCCCTGATCTGTTGCACGACTTTGAACTGAATAAGTGGCTTGTAAAAGAATGATCTTACTTGTTCTTATTAATCTTTCTTAAATATCTGTATAGCTGACATTTCTTTCCATGTTTAATATTAGAAGTGTTTGGGGTCTTTATTTAGAAGTTTTGTGATGAGATATGCCATAGTAATTAACTTGTGTTTATATCAATTAGCCTTTGGTAAAATGTGTTTCCTTATACAGTGGGGCCTTGACTTACGAGTTTAATTCATTCCAAGACCGAGCTCGTTAAGGAGCTCGTTAAGGAGCTGTTAACTCAAATTACTCTATCAACTCAATGCAAAAAATCGGCTGAGAGACAGTTGGTATCTCAAAAAACTCGTTAGTCGGGACACTTGTAAGTCAAGGCCCCACTGTACATAGTTTTGCTTAAATTTGCACTTTCCAAGAACTTCTTGATGACATTAAGTGAGGACTTTGTGTGTGTGTGTGTGTGTGTGTGTGTGTGTGTGAAAATGATTATAAAGATACTCAGTATATGCCTCTACACAATTATTAATTTGAAACAAATCACAAATTACACATTTAATCCTAAAAAATTAAGGTTTTTTAGCCTTTTTAATTATCATACAATTTTGTAAAACAGCTAATTCAGGTACTGTAAGTATATTAAAGTTACACTAACAATTTCTCAACATGTTTAAGTAGAAATTGATAACAGGAAAGAAAAACATCTGGGATTAAAACGGATAATTGCTAGGATTAATACCATTTCTAAATTCAACTTCCTTCAAAATGAATCACTTTATAATTTAATTAGGTTTCCAGATAGGAAAAAAAAGTGCTAATAAAAGCTCCGATAAGAAAAAGTGGGCTTAGACAATTGGTTTAAAAAGAATCCGCATAATCATGGGGCTTAATTTTTTATCTACAATTCAGCTCAAAGTCATCAGAATGACTTTTATATCAAAGAGTTTCCGTGAGTGACAAGAGCAAGACTTGCTTTGTGCTGTTTAAAAGTCATTATTCCATGAAATAACTTTAGCCTGCCAACATGAGAAAGAATAACAGATGCTGTTTTTACATTATCTGCATTATTTCAGCCAGCCATCCTTAGACATTTGGGTCAAATTTCTGGAAATTTGTTACTTGCTTTTGACAGAGGAATCATGTATCCTAACCTCTCAGTTTGACCTTTCTAATTGGCATCCATTTGTAATACTTTGCTTTCTGTGGCAATTATCCTTAAGCTGGCCTAAGTTTAGTCTATTTTTTTTTCATGTATTAGGACATGAATATGAAAAAAATTAATCAATATTTTCACCCAAAACAAACTAGTAAGAGAAAGTTTTTATACACATGCTGCATATTATTCTGATGGATTTTGAAGGTGTTTCAACCTTTTATAAGCTTGAAGTTGAATGAGAAGTTTTCCCGTGCAGATGTTTGGTCATCGTTTTCTATTCTATATGTGGATTTTTCAAAATCAAAATTTAAAAATAAAGTGGCATGTCCTACATTTCCAAAGCCAGCAGAAATTTGCCCCTTAAAATAATTTAGAAATCAAAGAGCAATTATTTTATGAATGCTATATTATAGCTTACTAGAATATAATAACCAGCTCAGAAAATAAACTAGGTAAATCATTTTATAATTCTGGTGGTGGGTGATTTAAAAAGGTTTTTCATTTATCTTCATGAACTGAAGTTTCAGTAGATTACTATATTTAGATCATCACATACTAATAAGTAATATTTGTTGAGCACTTACAATGTACCAAACACTGATCTAAAAGCTTTACATGTGTTATCTCATTTAATCCTCAAATAACTGTAGAAATCGCTTGAATGCTACTGCCTCCTCCAAGTGGTATTTAACAAATCACATTTAGATGGTGTGTGTGTGTGGAGGGGGGGGGATTAAAAGTCTTACACGCTGAATCAAATGGAGTTCTCACTGAGTTTTTTAAAGGTCTGTAAAGTAGAAATCATAATTAGTAAATTTCACCCAATTAAAACTTCCTATATATTTTGAAAACTAGAAAAGTGATCTTTCTCTAATTTGTAATAAGAATGAAAGGGAATAAGGACTAAAGGACTATCATTAAAGACTTGCTTTTTCAATGACTTAAATGTGACAAAACTTAGTATACTATAGAAAAGGCATACATTATTATTAAGTGTTGTGCATATATACTAATAGAAATCGAATCTGTGTGTAAGAAAACTAAGCTAAACATATTTTATTATCTTTAAAATGTGTTAATGCTTCTAGAGTAATCAACATTTTCAGAACAAAGCAAAGCAATCTATAATTTATAAATTGCTTACAAAATATGTATGATCTGAAGAAATGTTTATGAGTGCAAAATTAAGTTTTAAAAATTAAGTTTTAAAAATCATAGTTTTAAAAATTGTTTTGATGCAACAAAAATATAAGATGAATATTTCACAAATGGAGCAAATAAAATTTCTCTATATAGGGTCAAAGTGGCCTAATTATTGCTTTCTTCCCTCCATACTTATTAAAATATAAATATGCTATATTACTATGACCCAATTTTTGACATCATGAATAACTTGTAAAATTAAAAAAGAACCTGATCAACTAAACACACATAATCATCATAAATATATAAATTTTGAAAATGTTATATAATATGTTATTTTCATATTTCTCTCACTTGGACAACTTTTAAACAATAAATAATGGCAATCACTTGGAGAATGTTATTTTTAAATGCAATTATCCTTAAATTTTTGTGGACTCTATCTTTTCAAGTAAATAAAATATTTACCTGAGTACTTACAAAAACACATACAACATTTTGGTTAAAAATACATATAATTTTACAAAAACTATATACATTAAGTTCTCTGGGCAAGTTTTCCTACCTACTAACTAATTTAGAGAGTCACTTCATTCCATTGTACAAATGTAAAATCTCCGTAACACCTTTAACAAATATAAAGTGGTTCTACTTACACTTGCATGGAGTTTTCCTTTTTTTGACATCGCTAAAAATTTGTTGCTGAAAACTCCTCGTATTCCTACAATCCCCTGAGACACAGCAAATATTTCCAAAATACCTAGGATGACAGAAATCCCAAAATAAAACACAGAGGCCTCCATATACCATTGTGAAGAATTAAATTTCTACACAAATTCCTTCCATTCTTTACTAATGCAATTTTAGAAAAAGTATTAACAGTTTTTGTTATACTCATTATTTTAAGAGGCTGGCAATCAAGTGTTCATTTAAAATGATAGATTTCAAGATTCAAAACTGTAGTTCAACTTCATTAGTAATTTTTTTTCATACAGTCACTTTTAGTAAATAATGGTTGACAATAGAATCTTTTCAAGTTCTAAAGAAATTGAAGGACTTTGAAAACTATGTTTCAAAATGATTCTCATGCATTGTTTTTCTACCAGAGACAATGTGCTCTTTAAAATTAAAAAGCACATAACATCTGTACTGAAGATGAGCATAAACTGGTGAAAGCCTTAAAAACAATACTGATTTACAGAAAGGAAAACCATCCTCTCAAACTACCATCATTATAAAAATACAAATCCATATATACCAACTCGATCATTTAGTGAGCAGCTTATTTAAACATTACACATAACAAGATACTAAAGGCAATGTAAGTCACTTGGGATTATTGGCTCAATGAGGTGTTTAATGGTTTATGGTTTGAGACAACTTACATTTTGAATGACTTTTCTGGAAAAAATTAAATGAGGTATTTTATTTTGTTAATGTTTATATTTGCTATTTCAGAGTTAACATTATCAGGTCAAAGTTCCTCTGTCTCCTATAATTTGAAAGCTCACATCTACTTGGTCAAGAAAATCATACACCACAGTTCACAGAGCATTTTTAAAAATGAGGCTTAATCTGTATGTAACTGGAATTCCTGCCTCTTTTCCTGTGTTACATGAACACAAGAAAAGCATAGGGCTTTTTGTTAATTCCCTACATCAAATTGGAAAAAAGAAAAAAAAAACAAAATAATATAGTTCATTAGTGCAACAAAGGGACCAGTCTTAGGAAGAAAGTAAGGAAACAAAGATAGGAATGACAAGGGAAAATAGTTCAACTTTTCAATATTTAATATTTTGAGCATATAGTTATATTTCACCTGATTTTCTCAAAATAATGTCCCCCTGGAGTATTTTAAATACATATAAATTTATTCAATTTACAAAAAAGTGGTATTGTGGATACACATATATTTAATAAATACATATGAATATCTTTATTGAGCACTTATGTTGCACAAAGTGAGCTAATACCTAGAATTGCAGCAAATACTACTGCTTATTTATTAAACTCAATTTCTGAATAATACTTGATCAGAAAGCTTATGGGGGGGAGGAGTAGCAGAACTGTGTTTTTGTTATATGTTCTTAACCCAGAATAAAAAAACACATCTCAAGAAAACTGCAGCTACCGATTTTGTAGTAGATGTTTCTTTAGAAGGAAAAAAACACCTAAAAACTATTTAAAAGAAACTTCTTTTGCTTTTAGAAAGAAACTGCTATCTCAAAATGCTATTTCTAATGGATTTTGCTATATAAATTATTACTTTGATGCACATCCAAAGATTTAGAAGTATTATCATTCTATCAAATAGTAACAAAGTATACAGAATATTTTGTAAAGTTAAAAACACTATAGGATGTAGCATGTTTAATAAAGCATAAATAGATATCTGATGCAAAATTATTTTTCTATCAAAATTACAGAGTGATCTTGCAAAGAGTATTAGTAATTTTAGATATCTGAGAGATGGGGAATGTAATGTGAATACTGTGTAAATATGTTCAAAGTGAGATAGGGAGAACATGAGAAAGTGTCTAGGTGTGGATAGCTGCAAAGGAGACAATATGGAGTGCATAGAAGAGACTGGGTTGCAATTTACCCATGGTTCTACATTGGTAGAGGTGTTTTATTCCATTCTCTGGAAAATTACCTGGTTTTGTAAATGCAAATGTATTCTGTACTAGCGAAAAAATACATGGCAGCATAAAAGATAAATATTTCACTAAGTGTTTGCATGCTAACATTTAAGAGGTCAAAATAAAAGCGCTCCAAAAAATATTTGTTTAGTGGAAACATTGCCTATGTAAACTATTGGGTTCAACAACTAACATGTTCTATTTTTAAGAAAGACCCATTTTCACACATTTAACTTGTTTTCTACAAATGTACATTCTGTGTGGATATATGTTGTGTAAAATTTTCATTATAATGAATTTTATGTATGAGGAAGATGAAATTCATAATATATGTGAATTGTTATTATTTTATTACATACTGCATGGTTTCTTTTCTTGTAAGTTCCACTACTGAAATTATAGATTGTCTGAAAATGCAAGTATTTTTATCATTTTAAGAAAATTATATCTAATTGAAAGCTTAAAAAATACTTTCACATATATCATTCTACTTAAAATAATGAGGACCACAAGGGAAGACACGAGATTCAATAAAATAATAGTTTTTTCACATAGGCAACTTTGGTATCACCTTCTAAATCTTACTGTAATTATGGCATAATATTGTGAATGTTGGTAAAATCAGAAATTCAAAAGTAATTTCAGTCTCTTTTTCTAAAATATTAGAGCAGATTCTATAAGCCCTATAATTCAACTTCCTGCCTCCCCAAGAGATTACTATGATTTTACTATGCCAAATCTCAGTAACTCACTAAAGATTTTTTGCATAATATACTATATAATAAATCTATGTGCATTAAATCATACATATATAAATCCCAAGAAACATTTCTCAAAAATGGATTCTTTTTTAATTTCAGTAATTTCCTAACTCTTGTTGTGAGTCAGTAATAATAAATTTGATGAAAATTTGCAATTTATATTGTGGATGCCGGGATGGTATCCTTAAGCAAAAGTGTGTAAGGCAAATTGCGTCTCACAGATCACAGATAGTCAATGAATGTTCCTTAAGTTGGATTGTGTTCTTTGACCCTCTTTCGCTCTTCAGGACACCCACATGCACACATCCATATTTTAGCACTCTCCTGCTATGTTGGCCCTCTCCTGCTTGGGGAGTGGAGCAAGGGAATAGAGATCAGTATAAATGAATTCACATTAGAGTGCTAGCAACAACATGGTATCTTTCCTAGGGTAGTCACATTTAAGAGGATCAAAGGAAAAGTGTAGTGCTCACAGAAGGAATTTTCATATGGGAATTTTGGGGTTGACATCTAGGTTGGAAGAGATAAACATTTGGTGTCTCTCAGATTATACACACACTGTTTAATCCACTTACAAGCATAGGCAATGCAAAATAAGTGTATTTCAGGAAGAAAATATATACCTAGATTTTTTAGTCTGCTCCAGATTTTTTAAAACAATAGGACTCTAGTAGAGACAACTAATATAATTATATAGGCTTCTTTCTTTTCTCTCTATTCCTAATAAGGCGCAGATACTCCATGTAATCAAAAGCTTTCAACAGCCCATCTGAAAATCCCCAAAGAAAAATAATTTAAAACTGAAGTTTCTCTATTTTTGTTGACACCGCAACAGATGTGCTGTGTCATTAGAAAGTCTGAGTCTTAAATATCCAGTTTATCTGTTTTCATTGATTAGATTAGTAACACAAACTAATTGAGTTTTTCTATGCAATAGATACAGATTCTGCTTAATCTAGGTTTGGGAGACTATATAAAGATTGACTCTACATAACATCAAAATTGATAGTGAATTCAGATTTCTGAAGACCAGTAAAATTAAAGATTCAGTTTAACCAAAATATATGATTGGAATTTTCATATTTTATATGAAGACTTTGATTTTCTATATAGTATTAAGCTTTTGGTCCCTAAATTGAGAAATATCTAATTGCCTATGCTTTAATAGCCCAAGATAAGACAGCAGAAGCATTGTATTGAAACTAACCTTAATCAATAGAAATTAAAGCAAAGCCTTTGTTTCTATTCAATAATTGGATTTCATCATCTATTTTTGTCCCATTTTTCTTAATCCTTCCCTAATATTTCCCCATAATAAGAGTAGATGTGCAATAAGGTTGATTCTTTTCTCTGTCTTCAAAACTTGGGATAACTATTGTATAAGAGAAATTAAGAATACATTCAGTGGTATAGTTTAGCTAAACAAATTCTATTTCAAAAATCTATGGCTAGTGTGTACGTCTGACAGTAAAACTAGAAAACATTCACAGTTGCAAAAATGTTTATGTCACATGATATTTGGAATATATATGTTTGCTCTCACAAATATCACAGAAAACTAGTGAGTTTAAAAGATTGCAGCTTCAGAGCAAAGTTTTGACTCTTTTCTGAAATAGCAAGCTGTGACAGACACACACACACACACACACACACACACACATCAAACACAAACAATGTTTTCTGTCATTGCTCACTCACAGACAGTAGAATTAGGTGATGAGGTAAATTTCTGATATATCCTCTATTGTCCTCTGTGATACCAGCTTTTCCAGTGTCTCTTGTGAGACTTAGACAAATGCTTCCTCGTGTACTTTAACCAACAGTCCATGACCAATGCCTTAGTTTACATATGTCAGGAAACCATCAAGTGCTGTGCCTTCAAAGGTGTATGTGGCCAACTGTAATTACCAGGCTTCTGTTTCTCTTTCACAGCTACTTAAGGGCAGAGACTCATTTTAAATTTCCAAATTACATGCCATTCTAGTAAATATGACATATTCCATACACTCTTCATGAATCAATGGTAGCACAATCTTATGAAGTAGTATTGGCCACTCCAGGCATCACAAAGCAGAAAAGTCACCATGATTTGAACACTTCAGCTATTGTTTCCTCTGACAAAAACCTATGGCAGTCAAAAACAAAAAGATATTCCCCCATGAGTCCAATAGTAACCAAAATATCAGGCTGGGTGAAATAGGTATCCTATATTGGGTGCATGAATGAATGGATGAATGAATGATCACATGCCATGTGAAACACACAGACTAAACTCTGAAAGGCTATGGTAAATTGGAATTAGTTAGGAAAGTGATAGTTTAAAAAAAGTTCTTTTAGTCACTGTTTAGAAAAGATCCCTGTTCTTTTGTAGACAGTTTTCAAAGTGAATTTTAAAATAAATTAGATCTTAGAAATAACATATTGGTCAATGTCTTATGCAGCTGAAAATATTCTTTGTTGAGCTGTTCTCATTTTCCTTCCTATACTTTTCTACAACTTCCCGTTGGGCAGGGCCTAAGCTTCATTTGTTTATTTACTTTTTTATTTAGGGCTATATGGTTCCGTCCCAGAGAAGAGGGTGAATGTCTTGGGAATAAGTCTGCTTTTCAGAGATACCTAGCACATGAAACACACCCCAGACATTCTTTAATTCGCTGGGATGCAAACTGCTGTCTGACGCATGCTAACTTTGAGTCTGCCCTTGGGAACCCAGAAGTTACCCTCTGGTGGTACTAATTTCCTAGAAAAACTACAAGAACAGAATAAAAAAAGGTTTTCCGTAAGATAAAGGGGGAAAGGGTCCTAGCAGTGGGCACTGAGCTCTGATGTCTGATGGAGCAAAGGGTTGCGTGGGACAAAATAAGGGCAAATGAAATTACTGAAAGAGACCTAACTTTCCTGCTCTTGAAAGCTCAGAAAATTCCCCTTCCTTCGCCCTATCACCAAAGATAGTGAGTTCTTTTATCATGGTGACATGAACCTTAAAAACATAGAAATGGGCTCCTCTAAGAAGCGTGTGGGAGGCCCTGGGACTTGGGGAGGCGCACGTGGAGGGCCTCTCTCCGGTGTGCCCAGGCCACTCGCCACGTGCAGCACAGCCAGCTGGAGCTGCACAGCCTGAGCCGCTAGTCTGAGGCAGGGGGTGGGCGGCGACCCGCCCCTCTTCCAGAGTGAACCTCCGCAGCCGGGAGATCTTGTTTTACCCCGCCTCCTGCCTCCTGAGCCCCAGGGAAGAGGCTGGCCTGCCGGCCGGTCCCCACACCGGCGTGAACACCTCCACTCTGGAGGTCAGTGCCCCTGTGGCACCCGCGCTCCTCCAGAGCCTGGAGGACCAGAAGCCCAATTGCCTGTATGGTCCTGGGTTTCAGCCGGAGCAAGTTCCCAGCCGGTTTCCTCATCTTTAAGTGAGGAATGTAGACACTCAACAGATTAAGTGAGCAATTTCCGAGGGCCAGGCATTGAAGGAAAACAGTAAGGCGTCAAAACAATGGAACTTTCCGAGGGTGGAGATGGAAGTACACCTAGGAGCTACCAGGCTGACACTCCTGGGTCCGTGACAGCAGCGCTGTCTCCGGGACACCTCTCCCCCTCTCTGCGGTCTGGGCCGGGGTCAGCATGTTTTATTTCTCAGGTATTTCTCATTATGATAACAAAATGACGTTGGGGCCCCACCGAGGGAAAGCCCGGCAGGGACCGCCCCAGCCCGCGCACACCCCCAGCTGCCTGGGGCGGTGAGAGGAAGCGGAGGAGGGAGGTGATATCTGCAAATGCTGGCCGAGTGGAAGACAAGAGAAATGAGAAAGTAGCGAAAGAAAGAGCTAAAGCGAAAACTCAGAAAATGTAAAACCTGGCTTAAAAAAAAAACCTACACAATTTGCACCTGTACCGAATTGAACCTTCTCTGAATTTCTTTTAAAATAAAGAACTTGACCCTAATTGTCCTTGGGGGCCAAAGGCTAGCCGCTCTTTGGAAAGGTGTTGTCTTGGTCTCAAGATATTAAACGCTACTAAACCCAACTCTAGAGCTAAAATGCAAATGTCCACCGCGCTGCCCTTTCTAAACGTGTCCAGTTTGCCAGATCACTGTCTTCCCTAGAATATACATATACATTACTCTATATGTACATAATGTGCACATATGCATACACAATAGACATACGTATGCATATATGTTAAATACTATATATATATATTCATATTATTTGGGGGTTTATGGTGGTGATTCAGGGGGTATGTCAGTTTTATTCTTCCAAAAAAAAAAAAATAACAAGTCATGGGTAAGGAAAAGGGACACACTTTGATCCTAATGAAAAATGCTAGCCTAGTAAACAGCAGCAGAAAGTAAAGAGGAACTGGAGGAGGAGGAAGGAGGAGATTTGGGGTTTTTTTTCCAGGCACGGGCTGGAGGCTCCTCTTCGGGACCAGAGCAAACTGGAAACAAGGTGCCTTTCTCTGTGCACCAGCCTCCGGGGAGCTACACTTCACGGATCGCCATTCCTTACCCACGAGTGGCGTGCGTGTATGCACGCCACACAAACGCGTCTCCACGCCACCCGCCAGGCTGTTTCCACGGCAGGGGCTTCGGTAGGTGAGCCGGCGGCCCTGGGAATACGGGCTGTCCCTCCCCAGTGTCCGGCCACCCGCTTAGGACAGGTTTTGCTAGAGAGCGAGCAACTTACTTAACATATTGGCTTCGTGGGAGCCATTGACTTTGCCATCCGGGTAGATCTGCAGATGGAAGCCGATGCCCACTCTGCAGTAGAGGCTGCCAGTCCGGCGTCCCGAGGGCGTCCACTGGAAACTGCTCTGCTCCAAGCCGCTTCCCGGGCTGCCCGGAGGAGTCGCGGGGGAGGAGGCAGAGGAAGACGTGGTGTTACTGCTGTTCCGGCGGCTGCTGGAGCCTCCCGGGATCTTCTCCGTGGCAGCGGGTCCGAGTTGCCCTTTGGGGGCGAGGCGCTTCTCTCCTTGAGCCCAGGCGCTGAGGATCAGGTGGCTGAGGAAGAGGAGGAGGAAGGACAAGCTCATTCTTCCAGCCGCGGGGGTCCTAAGTGCATCTTGTAGGGCTGGCTCCGGGCTCTGTAGCCCCCGCGCGGCTGCGTGCCTCTGGCGCTGCCCCCCTCGCCGCGCCGGGCGGACATAGCCTCGGGGGAGAGAGAGGGAGCAGGGGAGAGAGAGAGGCCACCCGAACGGAGCCCGGCGCTGGCACTGGGATATTTATAACGCCAGTGATCTCACTGCGCGGTGCACGCCTGCTAGGCTTCCCCTCACCCGCCGCTTTGTGTACTACTCTCCGGC